AATCCTTGGGAGAGGCAGGAGCCTGGCGCTGCAGCCTCCTCCCCTCCCCGCCTTCTGTTGTCACTTGTCTCATGAGCTGCTGCTTTGAGGGAGAGCAAAACAGATGTGCCGGCAGGCAGGCAGGGGCGTATTACGAGAAGATTAAATACCCACATGGGAGAGGGTTGGGCTCCCCCCACCACCACTGACATCTTCTTTTCTCTCTCTCTCTCTCTCTCCCCCTCTCCTTGTACAGCTTGCAGGCTGCCAACATGATTACAAACTGACCCCCACCCCCATATCCTAGACTTTAAGAGGGCTCCTGCATGTCAAGGAAAGTGTATGTGTGGGGGTATTTTTTGGAGGGGAGGTTTCAACTGCAGTGATGCTATTTGTCCAGCAACTTCATGGACTGCATCTCCTTTTGAAAAGTTCCAGTGGCTGTGACTCCTTCTGTTTCTACCGGACAGCCAGGAGGAAGAGGGAACAATGCCGTCTCTTAATTATTTAGGATATTTTTTTCTTCTTCTTTCCATTTTGGAAACTGGTTTGCAAACTTAGGAAAGCTTAGGAAGGGGGACTGGAACTCCCAACATCCCCATCCGTTGCCTGTGGCCAAGGCTGACTCTCTCCGGCGTGCTGGGCAGGGGGCCTGAACGAAACCTTTTTTGTTGGGGGGGGGGAAGGGCAAGGAGAAGTCTTAGGGTCACCAAGACCGTATGGGGGAAAAAACCTGTATTATGATGAGCAAAGCATAAATGCATTTCCTCCGTTCATTGTGTTCTCACCTTCAAGGGGCTCGAGGCATGTTCCCCCCCGATTTTATTGTTAGAACCATCTTATTAGATAAAGGCAAAGGGAGAAAGAGAGTTTGTGTCAGACTGAGGTCCCTTCCTGAGTTTCATGGCCAAGCAGAGATGGGAACCTGGGTCACTCATATTCTTATACCCTTCTAACGAAATATTGCATAGCAAAACTTTAAAAAAATAATTAAATTAAATTAAATGCAGGTTCCATGGTTTTCATTTAGAATCCCAATCAAGGGTGCTTTCTGCTGCTACATTACTGACTTGCACCATAGGCTAGAAAGACTCCGGCCTCTCCCCGGACAAGCCGCCATAAGACCAGCCCAGCCCAACCCTGACACCTCTTCTCTGGCTCCATCTCTCTCTTAAGGAAGCGAGGCAGGGTCAGGATGCAGGCTGGGTGGGATGAAAACCCCAAACTGACTGGGATGAAGAAAATTGCTTCCTCCATTTATCACGGCTTTATCCCATTTTTATCCTGAACTTGGTTAGAATGCTGTAATCCTTGCAAATCCCCTGTCCTTAAACGGAAAGACATGACCAGTTACGGGGGTAGAGAAGAAAGAGGGGGAGATGGGCGGATTACTACCAAAACCCAAACGGACAGAGAGAGAGAAAGAGAGAGAGAGAGAGAGAGAGAGAGAGAGAAAAGGAGTGTTAGAGATGAAGATGGCAAACTGTGCAAGGTGGACAAAGGCCACGATCCCCAAAGCATCCACCTGACAGAGGAGAAGAATCCCAGTGAATTTCTCACACTCACAAATGCACCCCAAAATCAACTCCTTGGCCTTCAAAGTGCCCCCCAGCACATTCTGTTTTCCCAAGACTTAACCCACCTAGTGCTGAAAAGCCATTTAAACATTTGCTGCCTTTGATCCCATGGTGTGGCATGGTGCAAACTGGATCCCCAGGGAAATCAGGAGGATCCCAGCCCACACGTGGCTTCCCGGTTGCTCAGAAACAAGCCCACCATCTCCAATTTGGCTTCTCTTGGTCCTGTCCCGCTACTCTTTCAAAGTCATAAATAGCAAAATGGCATTTGGATGTCTTGCGTTTAACCAAACTGGGGGAGAAAAACTCACACCTTTCTGTTAGCAAGGGGGGAAGTGCCACTGAGCTTTGCCACGAATTGAAGAAGGCAAGAGGTGAAAACCAGAAGCTGTGAATGTGACAACACTGGCCCTATTTTTAGCATCACAGTTCTCGGCTTTCTAGACCGTGTTTCTGGGCAAAAGGGGCTCATTCTTGGGAGCCTCTTGCATTTGGCTTCTTATCTTGGGTTAAATCCTCTCTGGTCTTTCACTTTTACCCACTTGCTTCTGAAAATAAAATCTGCTAGAGGAATATTGGTGGGGCGGGTGGGGGGAGAGGACAGGAATGGGAGAGGGGGTCACGTCGTGTAGAAAACCCCCCACTGAACTTTAGGGAAGTTTCTCTGCTTGTCATTCCCTAGCAACCCCAAATCTCTGGTTACATTTCCCTCCATAGGAACCTTCAGCGGAGCAGTCCTCCAAGCCCCATGGAAAGGAACAGGGTCTGGCTCCTTGCAACTTGTCCAGGAAAATAACACTCAGTGGATTCTGGCTCTCCCGATTTGCCAAGCCTGGAGCAGGTAGTCAGTTCGGTTACTATTCATTTTTTAAAAAACAAGGAATAGAAAGTGAATTATTAAACGGGTTTAAGGCTTCAGGTCAATAGTTATTATACTCTCAGATGAGCACTCCAGTTGCAGACAAGATGCCTGCCTTTGGGTTCTTTGCTAATGAGAGAAA